CTCGATAAACGAGAAATTCATCTTTAGTTCGGTAATCAAACCTTCCGACAGTTAGGGTTATCTGAGTCTCCTCGAATCTCGGAGTGGAGATCCCACTCTTGGTTTCACCTTTCCGGATTATGGGGGTGGAGATCCCACCTCGAGTTTCCTTTCCAGCTGAAGATAGAATATAAAATTCTTCTTTTCAGCGTCGGGAGATAGAATATAAAATTCTTCCTCACGCGTTGCTGGTTTAGTCTTTCACCGATTGAAGAAGACACTAGAATTCCAGTCTAGGAAGTTTATCCCGAATCCTAAGCAGGGATAAGTCTGCGCCTAACACGCGCTGCCGGTTTAGTCTTTTTCCGTACAAAAAGACACCAGGGTTCGATTCTGGGGTATTCTATCCTGAAACCTAAGCAAGGATAAGTCTGCGCTTAACCCGCGCTGCCGGTTAGTTCTTAACCGTCAAAAAAGAACACACGTTCACATATTCAACATTGTGGCAGGTTGTTATTAATAACACCAAAATCCATGCCTTACACGCATGGGGAATTTCATCCTGAATCCTAAGAAAGGATATGCCGACGCCTCACACGTGTCGCCGGTTTAGTCTTTCTCCGAAGAAAAAGACACCAGAGTTCGATTCTGGGGCCTTTTATCCCGAAGCCTAAGTAGGGATAAGTCAACGTCTAATACACGTTGCCGGGTAGCCTATTCCCGTAACAATGGCGAAGCCTATGTATTCAACATCATAGCATAAAGTCTCAGAGAATTCACTCTCTTAGCACAACGTCACATGCGGAACGGATTTAGACAATCCGCCGTCTAATACACGTTGCCGGGTAGCCTATTCCCGTAACAATGGCGAAGCCTATGTATTCAACATCATAGCACAAAGTCTCAGAGAATTCACTCTCTTAGCACAACGTTACATGCGGAACGGATTTAGACAATCCGCATGCTAGCCCGACTCAAACGGTAGTCGGTAAAGGCTAATCAAACCCGTTGAAGGCTGGGGGTTAGCCAAAAACCCCAAAGTCGACGCCTAACACGCGTCGCCGGGTAGTCTATTCCCGTGAGAAAGACGAAGTCTACGTATTCAATATCGTAGCACTAAAAGGGTTAACTCTTTTAGCTTAACGTCACATGCGGAACGGACTTGAACAATCCGCATGCTAGCCCGACTCAAACGGTAGTCGGTAAAGGCTCATCAAACCCGTTAATGGCTGAGGGTTTGCCAAAAATCCTATAAATACGAGAGTCACTGACGCATCAGCTTCATTAGTTGGTCTCGTGAAAAATTCAACGTACGACGTTCAAAACCCTAAGGTTAACGCCGGACAACACGTAACCCTAGGTCAACGCCTATCAATGCGTTGCAATGAAAGAATCAACACTCCAACAGGTGCATGAGGTTAAACTGCTTCTTAAATACTCCAATAAGGTATATGAGTATAAACTGTTCCCTAATTTTTTGAGAAGTTCCTGGAGAATGTTTTCTATAAATATTCTTAAGGATAACTCAACAATACGACGCCGGACAACGCGTTGCAGATAAAGACTCGACGCCAACAATCGATGGTCAGCTAAATCAGGAACCAACTTCAAAGTTCAAAATTCCGACAACGGTCAGACAATAAATGCAGCACCGAAACTCTTTCAGACATTCGACAAAGCACCGAATAGCCTGGAAGATTGAAGGAATCAAGAACGGAAGTCATTCCAAGGTCCCATTACACCGACTGAAGGTTGGGACAATCATATCCAAAGTATTCCAGACTCTTCTATAAAAGAACGAGACTGAAATACTTTGGAGGGGGTATCTGTAGGCATATAAAATTGCTTATAGGTCCTTTAGCTCAGCTCGGCATAAACCGACAAACCAACGAGGCAACGAGACTGACTAATCGCACGCAAGCAACGAAATACGTCCATTCGCGTGCGGGATCAAGCCAAGCGTTCGAAGAGTCAACGAGTCATCCAACCAAGGGCAGACTCGGACGAATCACGATCGAATCAAGATCAGTTTCGGACTCGAACTCAGAAGCGGATTTACTGCCAAATCAGGAATCCAAATTACTGCCAAATCAGATCATCAAATCAGAGTCTCAGGTCAACCGAAACACGGACAAACGAGACAACGCAAAACGACGGGTTGTTCATTTTCAAGGGTTGGAAATTTTGGAGGCGAAGCTCTGCCGGATTCAAGACTCGAAACTTAAAAAAGATTGGAGCTTTGGGACTTCGGGGACTCACTCTTCCAGATCTGGTGCTCGGCGATCGTCAACGCCAAAAAAAGGCAGGTGTTCGAGAGGACCAGATCTCAGATCTACGCAGATGTACTCCGGATCTAAGCTTGGTCTTAGATCCCGAGACTTGGACGGTTGTTTCCTTGGTGAATCAATCCTCCCCGGCTATTATTTCCTTTGTGGAATAATACCCGTCGTACTGCTTAGATCTGATCAGATCTAGATCTCGCGGTGGTCCACGGATAAACCCCGGCGCAGGCAAAGAACCCACACAAAGCAAGAGACCGCAAAATAGGATCTTGCGATTCGTTCGACAAATAAGGAGAAAGTTGTAATTTTCTTTATTTCTTGTGTTATTTGATTTTCGTTGTAACCGGATCTAAAAAAGACCGGATCTTTGTAAGCGATAAACTATTACAAGAATTTGCAATGGAATCGATGATGAAGAAAGCAACGAATTTCCCCGCGAACAATCTCCAGCAAGGAATCTTTGAGCGGGACGGCCAACTAACTGCTTTGGCTGAGGAGGTTGAGTCTGAGAGGTGCCTCAAGGTGGTGGCCGAGAAGGACCCTCAGTCAAGTCGTCTCTCGGTCGAGCAGCTGAGGTGAGATCTCGAGGAGGAGTAGTCGAATCACCGGGCGTCCGTGACAATTGTCAAGGACTTGGAGGATAGACTTGCTCGTCTAGACTCGGAGCAGTATAGGGTGAAGATAGTCGATGATTAGCGTCATAGCCCCTTGGGTAGAACTGAGGTGGCTTTGGCATGCAAGGCTAGAGCCGACTACTTTGCCTCACTGATTCCTTCTAGCTCTCATCCTTCGCCCGACAGCTTCTATCCTTCCCGAGTATTCGGCTGCCTTGATCTCCTAAAGGAGATTGAGCTAAACGGACGGAGGTTGGATTTAGCGTTGGGCAATGGTGATGACGAGTCAGGGAATGGTCTCGATGAATAACCTATTGCTTCCCCTTCTGTTACTACGACTGAAGCCCCTGCTGAGTCTTCTGTTTTTGTCGAGGCTGCCACCTTGACAAAGACTACTGCCCAGGGGAGGGCTGCCGCCTTGGGACAATAAAGTTAAGGGCTTGTATCTATTTTTTCTTTTTCTTTGTAAATATCGACATGCTTTGTAAATGCTTTGGCATGGATATTGTAAAGATCTTGTAATGAAGTTTGCATTTTGGAATGAAAATTGACTTTGTTTTCGCTCTTGAGTCTGTCTTTCTTTTTATTCTTTTATTTTATTTTTGCTTTGCTTTGCTAACTTGCTTCGCTGATCGAGAGAGCCGAGTGTTAGCGCTGTAGTGAGCTAATTATGTTATGTTGAGTCGAATGTTAGGGGTTTGAGATGAATGATTCTCTTTGCATCTTACTTTGGCCAAATGGTCGGGTCTTCGGCTGATGAGGATATGGCAAGTTGTAGTGCCTAAGTCCCTTTGTCGAAGACAAGTGAGTAGTTAGACTTTATGCCTTAGGTTTATTAAGGATGACACTAATGTCTTTCAGATGGAATGATAACCCTGAGGTTAGGTGTTCAGGACTTACGTAGGGCCTGTGTCTTTAGTATAACCATAATGGTCGAAAGATGACTGTGGGAGTCGGCTACATGGTGAGTGCCTTGAGTTTATTTTTGAAAAGGCACCAAGGGCTTTGAATTCAACTGAAGTCGAATGCTTAG